AATGACGTTACGATTTGCATATTAACATTCATTAATATTGGTATGCTATAATAAATAGCAATAACACTTTATTATATAAGCATATATACATTTATTTCGTAATATAATGTCTTAAAAGACGGTTCAGAAACTTCAAATGCGATATCTATTTAGCATTTTTTTTTTAACTTTAATGATGAATTTAAGCTTATAAGTTTAATTCACTGCATATAAAGTACAGAGCACAAAAAATAAATGAATTACTCGAAATATAACTCTTGATCCAGTAATCCTATTTTACACACTGAGACTCCATTTTAATGGCTTAATGGGGCATTAGCGGGGAACGATATTTTATTATTACTGAAATAAAAAATAATATTGTTTTTCGTTGTTTGAGCTTATTTAGGCACTCCAATTGCAAGGCATTAAAAAAATTTTGATTTTGATTTTTTTATTACAAACAATATTTACAGCGTGCTAAAAATAAACAGACTACCCTGAAGGACGACTTTTGATCTAATTATCGGATCTTCACGCACTGGGACTGAATCTCAGTAGTTGAGGCGGTGATATCAGATATGCTAATTAATTAGCGCAGAAGATAATTTAAGTTGCAAAATAAGACGCAAAAATATACTTTCTCTGAATAAACATACCTTTTTCTTCATCAGATACGTAACTTCCAAACTAACGGTAGTAGCTGCAATCTAGGAAATATGGTCACAATAATTTGGTCAGGTAGGAGGTCTAAAGCTTGAACTCCTTAATGTAAATTGCATTTTTTGCATATTTCGCCATATCTTGTGAGTTTTCTAAGCGAATTGAATAATTTTTGAGCATAAAATTGTAAAATTTTTTCACCAATTAAAAAATTCTAAATTAATTCTAAACACCAAATAATTTTTAATAATTATTTAGTATTTTTGAATAGTTTATTTATCAGTCAATAAATTTTAAATTGCAAGATCTAAAAACGTTTACGTAATTTTAAATATTTTAATATTATTTGGAAAAATAATTACTTTCATATGGAAATAAAAATTTTGACGAAATCAATTGAATAGACCCTAAAATCAAATTTTAAATAAAATCATATGCTTAAATTTCATTTTGTCAGGAAATATTTAATAAAAATTTCGTTCACAATTTTATTTTTTCCTTATAAAATTGCACTCTTTGAAATGATTTGAAAATTTGCATACCTTACAATAAAATTTTTTTGACTATTGTTAAATAAAATAACGAAAAATGCTAAATAATTATTAAAAATTATTTTTCGCATGAGATAAGTTCACTTTGTATATGGACATGGAATAAGTTACGCTTTGTTAAGCTTTTATTTAATTCTTTTATCATCAAAGTTATTCTCTTTTCTAGGCAATTCTCCTCGAGTGTATCATTAAAAACTAAATAATGCAATTTTTGACCCAGAAAAATAACTGTTTTTCGCTTGCATAAATCAAATAATTAAATTCGTTGACATAATAAATGCGTTAGATACATTAAAATGTCAACAAATAATTTGCTCCTTATAACAAAAATGCCTTAATTTTTTGCGTACATACTTTATAATTTCTTAATCAGCAAAACGTTTTGGTAATTATTATGTTGCCTCACAAGTAATGGCTTCTAAAAACATATTTAAAATTAAAAAAAAGAACGCAATCTAAAATTTAATCTTTCAGGGTTTGAAAATCTGAATAAAAATATTAAAATTCCAGCAGAATTATTGTTTCCTACTTTAATGCGTAGAGCTATTTTATTTTTTTCGAAAAGAGATATCTTTTTAAAGAAAAGTAAACAAGCGTCAATTTTTAAAGTAAGCTCGTTAAAATTTTTCTGCTGAAATTTCTCCCATTTCAAAAAGTCCAAACAGATATTTAACGATGCGTTTTACACCATTTTGGACATTTTTATTTCTTTTATCTTCATTTTCTCATTTGTTTGACTATTTTCTACAAAAAAGGCAAATGAATAGAACTCGGAATAAGGAAAAAAAGTAAATGTTATTCTAAGCGACGAAATAGTGATAAGGTAAATATATAAAAAAAGAAATGTGTATTTACTTTCTTTTTATTGATTCGACTGGAAATAAAAATATTTTTAAAACTTCTATCTTTGAAGACATATTTGAAAAAGTAAATGTTCAATTCATTTTAGAACCCTTAAAAAATTATGATCTAAATAATTAATATTTTACATTATATATAAAAACAAATATTTTACAGAACATTTTTAGAGCACGCAACTCTAAAATATACCAGCACAAAAATATTCAAAAATAAAAGGCCAAAATAGTTTGAAAATGATAATTCTGAGAATAAAATCTCATTATTTAAAATACAATTAAATATAATTTTTTAAAATTCGAAAACATTTGAATGTATTGAAAGTAATTAAATTTATTATGTGCACAAATTTCTTTTGTTTCCTCTGACGTTTCATTTATGCTAACGATACATTAAAAAATCCTTACGTCCTTAAAAAATCAATAGTTGGATATGATTTGCTAGTTTGCTATATTTTTTCATGCATTATTTATTTGAGAAATATTTAAATTCAACTTTCTATCTAAATTAAAAATAAGGTCATCATTAATGGGAAAAATATTAATTGAATCATGATTTCTAAAATCTGTAAACGCAACCAAAATTTAAGACAAAAAATATTTACACACATAATTTTTCTTTTACATAAATTATTATGGTCGCTTAGATATAATAGGAAGATATTTTATAAATGAATATCTAAACTGACTTTAAATATACTTGAAAGTTGAGAAGAAAAGAACATTGCATTTTAAACTTTGCTGTATAAAAGTTTTTAACATCAAAGTTAAAAAAAGTGTATTGCTTGTTTCATCTTCTATTTACAAAATTACTGAATCCCATTAGAAATTCATTAAAATGCTGTTATTGAAAGCAATATTTTTTCCACTTTAGGAAAAAAAAAATATTTAAGAAATATCCACGAAACAATTATGAATAAAAATTAATTTCATTCTTGTCAAATAAATATTTCAGAAAGTGCAATCAACATAACAGAAACGTCTATATGTAAATACAAGTGTATGATTTTCTTACAAAAATCACACACATAACTTGATTTTACAAGGGCTATGTTAAAAAATAACTCATAAATGTGCATTTCAAGAACTGTAGAATTTTAGGCACAAATATTTTCTACATGTCTGTAAATGTTACCATATGTTTTAGATTTGCGTTGTAGTTTTATTCCAGAAATGGCAGTCGAACGTTGACGTTTTTTATGATTAATATGAGTAAAAACTTAATTAAAGGGACACTAAAGCAAGGAATTTTACCAATTGGCACCATGGAGCCTATATTTTTGGACATAAATATATTCTGCATGTGTCCTTTTGTAAAATATAGGTGTACACTTTGGAACTGTAATGTAATTTTTTCCAGACATAACAGTCGTAATAAGTTTTTTAATGGAAATATGAGTAACATTTGAACGTCAGGAAAAACTAGACAAACATAAATTTGCACTAAGGAAGCTTTAGTTTTTAAATGTAAATATTATCTACAAGTGCCATTCGACAAAATGGGACAGTATACTTTGACTTTAAGAAATATTCCTTTCTAGAAAAGAGACTGTACAATATATATATATTTTTTAAGGAACACAATACTGAAACTTCTAAATTTAAGAAAGAGTTTTCAGAAATTAATTTTGGAAATTTCACTGCGAAACAAACTATTTCCGTTATAAGGGTTTTTTGCAAAAGTCATTATCTGAAATTATACCATAGACTTTAACTAGCTGTTTTTTCTGTATTAGGTTTCAGGATTAAAACGGTAGTAAATCTTTTACAACTCAAAACTTCATTGCATAACTTAATTCTTTGTCAATTATTCCCCACCCCCATCTCCACTAAAATGGACCTCCATTTTGGATTTAACATTCAAAGTTTCTAGAATCGATAGTCGAATCTCGAGGTTTTTTTTAAAAATGAAACTGTGACTAAGAGCTTAAAGTAATGTAGTATTAAACTAACATTGTTGTTTCGAATGATACTTAGACAAGCTAAAAATAAAGTCAAGAAAGTTGCAAATTAAGTCAGAAAAGTGCACCTTTCGATTGAGTACCGCTATGATAAAAGTACGACTGCACTCTGACCCCCCCAAAGATAGATGGCAGCACCACTTTATCGGAGACCATTTCCACTACAATTTAGGCACGGATTTGAAAGGGAAGGAGCTTTTCCCCAGATTCCAATTGTGGGGCGAGTGTTATCGACAATGTCATATATGAAAGAGGAAGGCCAACATAGAATCGAGTTAACATGTCTTATATACTAGTGAAATGGAATTGAACAATTGTAGTGGCAGTATTCGATAATTGGATACCACTAGTTGATTCATTGCTGTTTTGTGAGAAACTGTATTAGGATCACCAGACTTTAAGTGCAGGATCGTGGTCGCTTCTGTGTTGCCATTAGCAGTTGAGTGTATTCAAGTCGACGTTCTGTGTGATCGAGACTGAGTAGCAATACCTTGATGAGGACAATGTCGCAGTCGCAAATAGCAAGTCAACCTGTTCAATGTGGACTATCTATCGAAGTAGACGTCTTCTAATCGACCAGTGCGGGACTGTCAATATACGCTTGTTCAGATCACTTTCGGGTCCCTAATGTGGAGCGAGTGCTATCGATAATGTCAACCTTCATCTATGAAAAGGTACCCCAACACATCGAGTTAACATGTCTTATATATTAGTGAATTGGAATTTAATAGTTGTAGTGGTAGACATGCTACACAGTACCCATGGTATTACTCAGTGACTAACCATTGGAACTTCAATTCGAAGGATTTTAAGAGCGTGTGTCTTATCGGATTGGAGAATCGAGCTCCAGCTCCTCTGGACCAATGTCTGATGCTCTAACGACTGGGTAAGCTAATATTAAAGTCACTTAAGAAAACACTCTTTTCCAAAATTCAAATAAAAAAAAATTTCGCTTTATGTGACATATTTGTAACAAATGATGCTCTCACCATGATATCATTTTCGTTGCATTTTTCGGCAAATTCCAGTCCTGCCAATTTCCATGTTCCACGTTTATTAATGATGACCGATTGAGGACATAGATTCCTATGAATCAATTTGCAGGAATAATGAAGGAAGCACAGAGCTTCTGTCAACTGAAAGAAAGGAAACAATTAGAGCAAAATAAATTTATTAAAGCATGCAATTCATATATGAATCCTTATATTTAAGTGGTCCAACTCTTTTTCCATCTTGAAATGCATAACCTTAAAGTTTAATGAATCCATTGTTTTTCGTCTCTTGCCTTATTTAAGGTTGCTTCTGTATACCAGAAGGGATAAGCAGTAGTTGTATTAGGTTTTAGATTACGGTAAAAGAAGATGATTTGTATGAGGATGAAAGTACTGTTTATTCCATTTTTGAACCTTTATTGACTTCTATCTAAGTGGAGTGGGTCATTTTGCATTTTAACTAAACTGGAGTTTGTCCACTTTTCACTTTTTCCCAAGTGGAGTTGGACCACTATTCAAATAAGACTTTCATATATCTGTTTATTAGAATACAATTTGAAAATATTATAATAATTGATTAAGTTTAACAGAATAAACAATTTTATTAAAACATATTAATGGTATTAATAAATAAAAGGGGATGTAATCGATTGAAAATCCCAAATATATTAAAATAGTTGAAATAGCAAACAAATGTCATTCGCAATGCCGGGGCATTATTTTGAGAAAGTTATTGCAAGATTTTTATTCCTCATTAAATGCAAATGGTATGCAATTCATTTGATAGTTAACTCATAATTTTAAATCACTTATGACATTTTTACCACAAAAATTAATTTATATTTCTATTACAATATTGTATTTTAAATTAACTAACGAAACAAAATCTGAAAAAAAAAGATATTTCCAAAGACAATTTCAGAAGTTTCGCAATCATCAGTGTCTCACACGAGCTTTCAAATTTTAATCTCCACTGATTAAAATTTCTTCGGAATTTAGAAATAGTATTTCGAATAGTATTTGCTATAATTTCATATGCGATCCATGCAATCAGGTTAGTTCATAACAGAATTTGAAAGCATTAGCTAATCAAAAGCACTTTACAATTTATTAGCAGAAAATGTAATACTTCAGTGAAATTTCGAACATAAAGCCTCCTTTGTATAATGTTGATACTCATCAACAGCTTCTAAAATGCCTAGGATTTCATGAAGCCACTATCTATTTAAATAAAGTGATTAAGTTCATTGTTATTGAAAAAGGTGAACCTTCCTTATGCATCACCTTATGCATCAATCTGTCCAAGCGATAAAGCTTACCTTACTCATGTATATGAAGTTTAAATTTTAGGATGTCACTATACGAGAATTCTGAGCAATTTTGTATAAAGTAAACACACACACACACACATATATATATATATATATATATATATTCAAATGAAATATCAAAGATGAG